ATATCTTGTAAAATGTCTAAACCCTTAATCTGTTTAAAAATGTAATAGGAGAAACATCATTTTTTAAAAATGAGAGAGAGTTAGCTATCTAAATTCAAGAATGGATTAATACCAGTTCTCTCTTTGATCATATTATAGTATTTTTTTTAAATACTTTGTTGTTTTTTGTTTTGAATTTTGTTTAAAGCTACACGAAGGTATCTGATAGCTGTCCCTAATTTAGCAGTGATAGACAAGAGAAAGGCAGCTATTCAACACCACCCACTGGGCTACTCTTTCACCAACAAATAGTGAGATTCACTAATACATTCCACGACTGAAATGGTGAACATATTCAGTGGCAGGGATTAGGGCCTGCAACCTTTATATTGCAAATTGAGTGCCCAAACCATTTGTTAAATGCAATGAATTTCATAAAATCTGGCTTTGGAAGATATATCCTCATTAGAAAAGAACATCATGCCAAAGACTAGTGTGCCTGTTGCTGAGTAGCAAGAATGTGTTCATTGATATGCAGATGGCACTTTCTCCTCCTTACTTGGTCAACACCCATCTAGAAACTCAAGATGCTGAAATGAGTTTGACAAGATTGGCAAGTATCCAATAAAAATTTGCTCTACTAATACAGACCTATGTAGTGAAAAGCTAGCTTGCAGTTGTGGGTATCATATTAACCAAATGAGCATTACTGTATTAATTATTTTACCAAGAGTATCTAAGAAACATTTATTTACTAAATTCCTTGATTGAAACCTTGGTCTATGCATATTTATTTTTTAATCTTATTTATAAGTCAACTATTCTTTTGCCCTTTACACCATTATCTTTTGAAAGAATGGTACCAGTGTTTGCACAGGTATTCATTATATTTTCATAATGGTGTTTGAATAAACATTTCTTTAATTTGTGCTATTTATTAATATTCATTCAATGCTGTTACATCAGCTGAGTCAAAGAGGTCACTAACATTAAAGAGCCTGCATAACCGAGTTTGACTAGTGCTTGATGTCAAAGAGTAACACTACTTGGCTGCTGAGTACATTGACTGCAATATGTGTAAGGGTAATTTCATTGTCTGGGGCAACTGTCTTTTCTACCAGCTATCTGATGAAAGTGGAGCTTGATTTTCTGTGATGTTAAAGCACAAATATGCATGTGACATCTCAGTTGTCTTTCTACTACATGCCCAAACCCTAGATAACAGCCTAACTGCTCTTCAGCACAATGTACAAGAACTGCACAGTGAAGAGTGGCTTTGCAAAACATTGTGCTACTGTGAATGTAACAGACATTGCAGAGGTCATGTGTCACAATGCAACCTGTACTTTTATAAGGAGGCACCTGATATCTCAAGAGGTTACCTGCTACCAAGTGGTTCCTGGCATTCTATGTGAATGATGTCTGCTCAAGACTTCTCATACTCAAAGCAGCAGACACCTTTGTCTATGAATCACTCCTAAAAATTGATTAAACAAAAAAGATATCCCCACCAACACAGCAAGCTGGTTCACTAATGTGGGTAATGACACAGGAGAAGTGCTATAATCTCTATTAACAACATTGGAAAAAACATCATCACTCTAGTAAATTGCAGATGATTTAGTAAAACGGTATCAAAGTGCCAGAGAAAAGTCACCGGTTTTACTCTATGTTGACCATGACTGCTGCAACATCCAAGGAGGAAGCTCAAAATCCTGTTTTTTAAATGAGAAAATAGCTATCTAACTTCTTGGAAAATAGAAGTTGTAAAATAAATGTTAGGGTAATCTTCACTGGGTCATTTACCCCAGAAGTAGAAGCCCTATTCTATTCATTATGTATATGAGCAATATGCCCTTAAAAGACCCAAACTTTAGGTTTGCATTACAGTTTGCAGATGATGTTGCAGTCTGGAAAAGTGCCCCTACTCCATCCATAGCTGCAACAAATCTTCAAACACTATTAAATAATATAGAAGAATACTGCCAAAAATATTGCATAAAAATAAATGTTCCAAAAAACCAATTACTAACTTTCACAAAACATTAGAAAGACCCACTCAAATTATATATGAATGGAACACTTCTCCAGACCATAACCTCTGGAAAATTTTTAGGTTTAACCTTTGACCCAAAGCTAACATGGCTAAATCACACAAATAATATATTAACAAAAATTTGGAAACACAAACTATATAAGAAGTCTAACTGGCAAAAACCATGGAACTTCACCAGACAATATCATAAAAATATAAAAAACATATATACGCCCCATCATTGAATATGCATGGATAAACATAGCACCCAAAAAACACAAATAAACTACAATCAGTACAAAACTCCATAATTATTACAGCATTGAAAGTCCCCTGTAACACATCATCAAAATTTATACACAAACATTCAAACCATTGCTGATAGACTACATACTCTAAATCACTTTGAGAAAAATTGGCAAAAGAATGATCTGCTTTGTGAACTTGATCACTGCTATATACATGATGGAAGTAGACCTAAGTACCTCTCACCTGTTAGCATATATTTTAGGAATAGAAATTTAATAAGACCATAAAACTAGCTTTGGACTAAGATAACAAAATTTAAAAAGGGTATTATATATAAAATGTTCTTGTGTTAGTTTTAAAGCGAGTGAACTGTGTTGTCTGTATATACTGAACTGTTCGTCAAGTGCAAGACTTTGCAATACTGAACATAAGTGATGATATGCACAACATAAGAATGTTAATGCAGATACCTACATGGACATTGCCCTGAAAGGGGTAAGAGCAAATGCAGTTTACTCCTACCCTCATATTATATCAAGATAAACATTCACCTGTTCCCAAACCACAGTTCTGACAGGAGAAAGAGGTCTTATTGAACCTCACCCTCCCTGGTCTATAAAAACCAAAATCCTGATAACGAAAGAAGTAAAGAAAATATTATTAATCGGCTGGACCTTAAGGTCACTTGGTTGATCTAATTAGTCTTATCTATTGTTATGCAGCCATCATGGGTTGCCTATCATCTTGCATCTTTGAATGGGACAAGAGTGATCTTGAATTTTTATATATTGCCAATCATGTTGAGATTGTAAAGGCTGATTTGAGGAACTCCTTGGATGCAGCAGTTACAAAATCTGTTACCATGGATGAGATAAGAAAGCACTGTAGGTGCCAAACAAGAAGTAAGGAAGTAAGTAAGCTGATACAGATTCTGCATCTCCCTCTCTCATCTGCCACTGACACTCTTGGTGTTCCTGTGGTAAAAGAGGAAATGAAAAACATCTGGGAGGTGGAGAAACAACACATTGGCTGCATTCAAGATCCTGATGGTATTAGGCTGTACACTATTAAAGGCTGTGGTGTAAAGCTCCTTGTGTACAGATGTGCCCAAGGTTTTACCTCTTTGGAAGAACTTCCACTTCACCTTAAATGATTTATACCAGGTAATGATTCAATTTATATACTAAATTCAACACATTTTTGTACACGTCTTTCACTTTAATTTACATACATTTATATGAATTTAACACCTTAAGTTATTCATTTTTTAGGAACATCTGCAAATGCCATACATATCTTCTCAATGGTGTTACATGGTGGAATTCTGCTAGAGCATCTGAAGCCATTGACTCTGAAGAAACGCCACTGCATACATTCAGTATAAAACTGCAACACCAAATTAACCATCTCAGCCAATCAGTCTATGATAAGTTGGTGCTCTTCTTGCATTAGCCACCTGGAGAGCACAAAGGTGAAGTGATTGCATTGAGTATCTTTATTAAAAGTCTGAACTTGTACTACTAGTGACAGAGGATGAGGTGGACCTGTGTATTGATGACGGCTTCCAGGAGGACATAGGATGGGTGGAAGATGATGAACTCCAATTAAATGTACAAGTTACTGACAAAACGATATCTTTGCCAGAAGATGCTGATGACAGTTCCAGGGAAATTGACAATGATGAATGCCAACTTCTTAATTTTGAACTTGGGGTAAAAGGTATAGTTGTAAATGTATTAAAGGTGCATTTTCTCTAAATGATTTTATTTTTAATTGAAAATTTAATTTAGTCATTATTCAAAAGGACTATCAAATCATTCTAAAATTAAATGTATTTTTTTTATTCAATATATCAGGAAAGAGATGTTGAAAGTGAAGTCCTTGATGCACATTGTATTGATGGCTGAGACACATTGGAACACACTACACAGGCTTTGATCAGTCCACAAGGCCTGTCAGTCACCAATTTACAGGCAAGGAATATAATGAAACTTTACAACAAACTGCTTGAATATGACAAAAAACCTTTGGTCTACAAACCCAGGTACTTATTATCATCATGAGGTACATCTGTCAGGAGAAAGCAGTATAGGAGTGGTCACATTGGTGCTGAAAGCACGAAGAGGTAAATAAGAAATGTATATATGTACCAGTTATATGTTTCCTCACCTTGTGATTTTAAAATTGCTATTATATAAATAATGTACTTGTAATATTGATCACATTTACTTTTTGCTAAATCTGTTTGCTTCATGTATTTCTTCTGCAGGAGCACTCTCACGTAGTCATCTTGTTGAGGCAATCAGCATGCACCTGTGTGACACATTCACCTCACCAAGAAAAGAACCAAAACATATATCACGTTGAGAGCATCCAAATACAATGAAATAAGAGCCCGTCTTAACAGCCATGCTTTATAAGTGGTTACTAACCTCACTTTGTTCCACATCAATGAAACAACTTTGACAAAATATTTTGTAAAAGATTTTTTATTGTAAAATTACATCTGTACTGTTCAACTTTTAATGTGAATACAGTGCATTCACTAGAAGAAAACAAAAACAAGTGTTTCATTCCAATTGTTTTTTTTTCTGACTAGAATTGAGTAAATTTGATTATTTTGTATGTCAAGTGACTTATCATAACCAAATACAAAGTAGTAATTTATTAAGTTGTTTTAAAAAGATATTCAATCAACAAAGTATATATTTTTGATATAAGATTATGGATTACAGGTACACGAACAAGACTGGATGAGAATAGACTCTGAGCTCCTTATCACAGCCTACACAAGCACTGAACCACTACCACCAGACATTCATGGTTATGCAGGAACCAGAAAACACAGAGGGGCAGGCAGCAGGTGACTACAGAATCACTTGAAATTAATCCATTGACATAATTTCCTATTCTATCACATATAATAGTACCAACGATATCCACTACTTGTATGCCAAGAACTATGATAAGGAGGAAGAGAAAAGGGGAACTGCTTAAGCAGGGTAAAGATGACAACACATTGAAGGAGTATTCTTCCTGTGTTTGCAATAAACCAATGTCTTCAGAGGGACACATCCACTTTCTGGGACAGAGATAATGTCCATATGCTTTAGGTCAACTGCCCAAGGAAGAATGGTTTAGGATTACAAGAAAAGGAACAGATGCTAAAAATAACCACCTGGACAATTCAAACCAGGTTCTAGTCATTGAAAAAATTTTGCCTAACATTTTTCAAATTGTTTATTCATGTTTAATTATATTTTTTACATGTTTATTTTTATATGTAACCAGCACTGCCTCGTTCATTAAGGTTGACATGTTTAAATATTTTGTAAGCTGAGGTCTCCATAGGGTACTTTGTGTAGAGTAGGAGGGTCCCTGGTTTATGATGGAAAAATTGTTTGGCCCGACAGATTTTTTTTTATTATTATTATACAGAGTGCCTATTATTTCTACTTTTATTAATTTTATTACTAAAAATGTATAATAGTTAATGTACTTGTCACTATATGACGATTATGAGCACAAATTAATGTTTTAATAGTGATTAGAACCTATAAATTAATTAGCACACATTGAGAAAGTTCTTGAACTTTGTTTTATTTATTATCTTTCTGCTAGTAAATTGTAGTTTTAATTTTGTAACCCAGTTGTAAATACAAATAATGTGTTTATTGTCTGTTTGCAAATTACTTTTATTATCATCTTCCAACTATTGTAGGAATAAATAGTTCTGTTGTTTACATGTTTGCATTCATACGCCAACTATGCTTGTTAGTTGTGTCATTAGAGGAAAAATATGAATGTTTTATAAGTTGAGCCACAAACTGGTAGTACTTGCTAGTAAGTCACAGCTCACATTACTACTGTCTTCCGCTCTCAAAAACAATGACAGCCCTTGGGTCTAATTTCATGGTCCTGGAAAGGCCACTAGAATGCTGGCAAATTGGAAATTTTAATTCTAATATTGTAAGATACAGTAATTATAAAAGGCAACCAAATCAGCACTATGTAACAATAATGAAATTAATTCATAGCCCAACATGTATGTAGTTATAACTTTGAAATGTGTTGGGGATATTCCATCTATCAGACAAGATTCAAACACAATGTCAAACTAGCCAGCAGCTATGGAGAATCAGTTAATAAATAATCAGAAATAAGCCACCCTTTATTTCTGCAATTTATAGGACACCCAACCTCCACCAATTTTAATAATTATTACAAATTGATGTTAACTAGTACTAAAGATCCATAACTTAATAGTTTTGTAATAATTACTTAAACTCCCATCCTCCTCCCTTCCTCTTTAAAAATTTGTTCAAGTACAAACCGGGTGAGCTGAGACAAGTCCTGCTACCCGAAGTTGGTCTTTCTGCCTGATATACTGATTTAGCACCTAATTATTTTATGGGTGATTAGATATAAACTAAGGATGACCTTGAATAACTTGCAACCTTTGTGTTTTCCAAAAAGTAGTTTGAGTAATCGAGAATTTACTTTTTAACATATTATTGTATTTATTATAAAATGTGAAAATATGTTTTTATTTGCCAATCTTTGTAACCATTATTTTTTAATTTATCAATAATTGGACATTATCCATAAAAGAATTACTGTTGTTACAAACTGCCAAATATATTTTAAATTAAGAAATAATAGTTCCTTTAATAGTATAGAAGGAACCACACAATTAGGAGTGGGTAGACCAAAGATTGGAAAACAAAATCTCTTATCAAAAATAGTCAACTGTAATCTGCCTCCCAAAAAATTAATATCTAAGTCTAAGTAATGTGTATGTTTATCACTATTATTGATTCTTTATATTATAAGTAACTTTGCATTTACTTGTTTTTGGGTTAAAATTCAATAGCAGTTGAGACATTGTGGGTTCAAGCACTCAACTCCTAACTGTTAATTGATTCTCCATAGCTACTGACTACTTTAACATCTGCATTTGGATCCAATCTAACAGATGGAATATCCCCTGTGTATTTGGGAGCTATAACCACAGACATTTTTTTGCTCAGTTAATGATGATAACAAGGACTGGTAATGAAAAAAACAACAACAAATTTTTGTTCATTGTTAATGTTTTTGATTTGTGCTATATATCTATACCTAGTATATATTTTGCCTCCTTGTAGTTCGACCCATTATATTTTGTCCATCATGCAAATACTGTACCAACTGAGCTACAAGCATGAAGTGGAAAATGATTGAAATGAGTGGCCACATTTCTAATTACCAAGACCCCTGTAATTATGAAACTTTATACTCTGATAAATGAAAAACAGATGCAACATCAGCAGGCAGGGGCCCTAGAAGCATTTTAAACTGGGGGGGGTCACTAAGTGAAGCAAGGCAGTGTGTGCCAGACCCTCACCTATTTGGCTGGGGTCAAGAGCCCTGGAGGCTTTTAAATATGAGGTGAATAAATAGACAAAATGTTAAAATGTTTTGTTTTTTTTTCATTTGGAATTGATGAGAAAAGACATCACTACTACTAGAATATTTTATTTTAATATGTAAAAGTGATCGTTACTACTTCTTAGATATTGCAAGTTACACATTGAGCTAGTGTATTTATCAATTTGTTCCACGTAATGCATGTTGCACTGAAAGGTTATATATTAATAACCCAAACAGTAATACTAGCAAATGATGCTATAATAGAAATATAGCACTCTAAAATGTTACAATCTCTACAAATACCAGAATAGTTATTCCAGATTCAAGTTAAATTTTAATGGTTATTATGACAACATAGAACACAAAGTTATTTAAGAAAACTTGTTGACTAATAAGCAAATGAGCAAAGAAATTGTAATTTTTTTTTCATTCACAAAGTCCCTGTCATAATAATGTAGGAACACTTGCTAATTGTTTCTACAAAAAGGCAATGTATACTATATACAACTTGCTTATGTTGGTGCATAGATATATCAAATTTATCATTTTCAATAAAATTACATCTGCATCAGCAGTAAAATTATCTCTTTTATAGTTACTGAAAATGTGTACGCAATATCATGCTGAGAGATGAATGCAAATAAGTTATAGCAAAAATATTTGACGAGGTACATTCATAAGACCACTGTATTTTCCAACCTGACTGTAACATGTGAATTGTAAACTTGTCAGTGCACAAAATTAGAGTTTGTTTTTACTAGTTCTTTGATATACCAGAGTCATGAACACTGAAAATATTTGACTTGTGTTTGTTTCTTTTGATAAAGTAATTAGCTACCTGATCCATAGCTAGTTTGTCTGTTAAATTGTTATGGACATGAAGGATGAGCAAGTGATTTATCCACTGCTGGTTTGTAGTTGACCTTAGGTATGTTTAACTCTCCTCAGAGCACTTGGAGGCTTCTCACTAACTGCACTGGTAGCAGGCATCACTAAAATCAATTTAAGGACCTTGATAACTTCACTAATGTAAATTTTTTTGGTATCATGTACTTATTTATATCCATAATGTCTACTGGACCTGACTGTGACTCAAATTGTACAGCAAGAGTCTCCATTTGTGCTGACAAGGTATCTTTATCTAGCTTGGTATACAAATTGGTTGCATTATCTAATTCAATGGTGAATGGTTTTCTTTGGACAGCATTCAGCAGCAAATCTTGGAGATTTCTATAAACATCATAGCCTGGCTGGTGAAACCTACTATCAATGCCTTCAAAATATATTATTCTAAAATAGTATTTAGGAGATTGAACCTGGTGTGATGACACACTGGGGTTATTGTCTAGTTTCCTTGGTATACTCCATTGCCATGGCAGTCATGGTGAGTTGACATCCAGCTTGATCCTCTGTGACTTGATAAAACAGATCAAATTTATCATCAGATCTCAAAGACTTGAGGGTTTTTACAGTTAAATTTGTAATATTTTGTCCCACTGCAGCTGAAATTGGTGTTTTCTGCAGTGTTCTACTAAGATTATCACAATGCCTTAGAATAAGCTGTAAAAGCTTAGTACCAAAGAAGTATTGAAATACTTTCATCTGGGAAGATACACCAATAATGTGTATTTTCATGTCAGTGTCTCTTGTATCAGGAATTGATAATTCCCACAGATCATTAAGATTTCTGTAGTTGTCAATAATACTTTTTAATGCATTAGCTTTAACAGTCCATCTTGTTGGACACATGCTTTGAATTCCAGTTGTTTGAAATTCAATATCTTTCTCATATTTTTGTTTCAAAAACTCAGCTTCATGTCTAGGAGAAAATTTGATGAATTGTATGATCTCATAGCTAATATCTAGAGCATTTCTAAGCACTTTGCATGATTTAAGTGTGTTATTGCAAGCCAGGTTAAGTGCATAACCATAACAATGAGTAAATTTTGCCCTGGGTTCTATTTTCTCAATACTTGTGGCAACCTTGAGCCAGCCATATTTGATGTCCCTTTGTAACACTAATATCTTAGCTTGTTCAGTGATATATTCATTTTTATTAGAGCATCCTTGATAGTGTTTGTTACTGTCTCACTTAATTCAATCAACATTGTACAAACCAATGAAATTCTCATGGGCCTCGAAGTCATTGTCTACCCATCTGATGCATATGACCAATTGTTCTTTATTTGATAAATTTGTAACTTCATCTGCCAAAACTGAGATGTATATAGCTTGTAGACATGAAGCTATCTCCAATAGAATAGATAATGCCATAACTTGTAGCATTTCATTCTGGATGTCTGAAGTTGTGTAATGGTTGCTTTTATGTTTCAGGAGCTGTATATAGTTTGATTCCTGCATGGTAGGAACTTGAAGAGCAATATCTTGTCTGGCTAGAAAACAAACACAAGAGAGTAATGCCTTTAAATATATACGGTTTTCCATTTTCTCCTGAGCCTGGACCAATGAGAGAGTCTCACCAATATCTGTTATTTGCCTTGACAGGGTAACTGTTTTTAACAATGCTTCCTTATGGCAGGCACTAGTTTCATGGGTAGCAAATTTTTCAGGTTTTCTCAAATTTGAAAATCCAATTGTGATAAATGTTAGGTCCTTATAGTTAATTAACAACTTTCCTTCTTGTTCTGCCCTCATACACACAAAGCACAGGGCCTTGTCCTCCCCTTCAACATAATATAGCCAAGGATAGCTAAAACAAAATAAATCAAAGTGCTGTGCTTGTAAAGTAAATACAGAGCAACACATTCAGTACATTTCTTTTTGGGTAATGGAGTAAAAAGCCTCTCAATTGAGTCAATTCATTGTGATTTATTGAGAAGTGAAAAAGCCTCTGTGTTAAAAATATGAGCCTTTCAAGCTACCCAAATCCCCACATTTTGTATCAGTATTTCATATCTTGAAAGTTTCATACCCCAGTCTTCAATTTGACATTCAACTTAAAATTTAGATCTAATGTTCAACCTTGACCTTCAAAGTTGCCTTTACCATTCAGTTAGGATCTTACAAAATGCCATATCTTGATTATTCATGAAAAACCATGACTTTTGAGGTAGTACACCTGCATCTTACTGCAGACATTCAGAATAAATGGTATTAATGAATCCTGACTGTCCCTGAAGATAGAAATGGAAATTTCTCAGTCCATTAGAAGAAATGTGATAAATAAAATCACTGTAATAGCATTTTTATTTTGATGCTGCAGACACATTCCCAATACAATGGTAAAATAAAGGTTATAAATTTAAATATAATAAACGTTCTGTTCATTTTATCATATTTCTGTGAAAAATTAAAAAACACTAGAATATAGGTACATGTATTCATAGAAATATATGTAAAAGTAATTAAGGAATATTCAAGTTCAGAATCTAGTATAATACCATTGGAACCAAGTTGACTGAAAAGCTCTGTTCTTTTTGGTTTTGACACCATTTGTCCTGATGGGGAACTTGTGATTCATTGGTTGATGTGCCACAAGAAGGCTATAGCTTTGCTGTTTATTTGATGTTTTTGGCTGATTACTAGATGGAATTTGATCAGTGATAAGAGAGTTTGATATTTTAGAAGTTAACTCTGTGCCTTTGTGTGAAGCATATGCCTTGTCCTGAAATGGGACTGGAAGAATTCTAAAAGAACTGAGCTGAGACTGCTTCATTTTTTTTCTCTTGAAGCTGCTGTTGCTTGCAAGATTGTTTGGTTTCAGCTGCATTGCAAATTTTTGGCACTTTAGTTGGTGGTTCTGTAATATTTTGTTCGATTAGCAATGGAACAAAATTGTTAGGTGTATACCAAGCTCCAGGCCTGTTGTCCAGATTGCTATCACTAGAAAAGAGTATTGATAATTCTGTATCATTCCTCTGTTTTGCTGTGTTCCATAATCTAGGTGAAATCACAGAATTTAACAATGGTTGCACTCCAGGATTAATATCAGGATACACAAAGTAAATTTGGAACTGCAAAACTGATGCCAGACCAAGAAAATAGAGGAAACAGCTCCACTCTTCATGTTGACATGTTTTCAGGGCTTCATCTTATACGATATGAACCTTGTTTGAACATCATGTTACTTGGTTGTCTGCTTGGATCATCATCTTACTAAATATGTCATCTTCCCATTTGGAAACAATATCTTTATGCTTTGCTGCAGACTTGATAATAAGGTAGTGACCATAATATTCTTCATGAATAAAAAGTTCAACAGCAATCAGGTCTTGCAGCCTGTGGGATAAGGTTTCATCTCCTGAAATAAAGAGAAATAATTCTAAGATAAGACATCTGATGTTCTTATTTACTTGTATTTTAATTGTAATATTAAAATGGAATACATTTTCTGATACCTATTATGTTATTGCACATTGTTGATATAAATCTTTTACCTGGATAATATTGCTTTATTATGCATTATTTTCAAGGATCTTAATTATTTTAAATTTGCAGAAAGGGGTACATATTAAATAAAAGTAGCAATAAATCAATACACTCAAAGGTATATCCAGGATTTCAGAAGGGGTGGTGCATTTTAAATTTAATTTTATGGGGATGCATTTTCAGTTTTTAAAAATTTACCAAATAAAATGTAACTCTTTGGGGGAGAGTTGCATTTACACATTGTATATGTGCTTTTATGTTCATAAATAGCTGACATACTGGATATATTGTATATTTAAGTAAAAAACTCCATGTGCAAGCAGCAAAACACAATTGAAGCATGTATTATCGTGGGTATTCCCTGTTAAACATAGTGATGCAGAATTATAAATGCAATTTCCATTACCAGTTGACTTGGATGCCTCCTTTGCTGAAGATTGTATATCAACTAGTATCAGTGCAGAGCCAATTTTATCTTGTGGTAAACTTTACTAGTTACTGTATATAGCAGTGTTTCTAACATGTGTAGTGTCAATTATATTTTCTATCTGGAATTCTTGTACAAATTAATTTGTGTTCAACAGAATGATTTTTTAAATTCTATGCAATAAAATAAAATTAACTAAAAACCAGTGTGGGAAGTATTCATTGTATCTTAAAGTTGTAATCATAAATAAACAATTTTCAGAAAACGATAAGAGACGATAATCAATGAAGTTTAAGTATATAATTTAAAATCGGAATTCACGCAATTTTAAGTAATAAATCATTTTAATAATAAAAAAGTAGGGAAAAGAATATTTCCATCAAAAAACAAACAATATCATATTCTTCCACATGGAAGTTGCAGCAGTGAATGAGTTGTCCTCAATCAGTATTACTTCTAGAAGCAGGATGTGATTTTATGCAAATAAGTTTAATGGCTCGATAGTTATATTTATCTGTCTTAAGGCCAGTTGTAGTTATAGAACATGGTGAGAATAAGGAACTAAACATTAAACATCTGATAAATGAATTAGGCTAACGAAGTAAATTCCCTTTCTTTACGGTCAGAGGCCATGTCATCGCGTTTGTTGACTCGCATTCAAAATTTTATTGAACTACTATTTAATGAATTTATGTCATTAAGTTTGGTATCAAACTGTAAATTATAATTCAACTTTTAGTATTATATATTATTCAATTTATTAATTTAAAAGTAAATATTAAAAAACCTAAATATCGATTTTTGTGTGTCATGTGGTATGTTGAATTCAAGCCCTGGTTGGTTCAAATTAGATGTTTATGATGTCAAAATACAAATTTTATAGTTTTGTACGAATCGGGAACTCAAATTACCGATATTGACAAGCTATAATATAAGATAAGAACCTCTTTTCTTTGCTATTTGTGAGAGATCCCTCATGTATTGAATGAAAGCAGTGACCCCGCTCACCTTTTCCCATTTTGGGAAACAGTCCCTTATACAAACATAGTTCTATATATGACATATTAATGACCGTTCGAAAGCTCAGAATGTCCCCATAGTGGCTTTCTCAGACATTTTAATGTTTAGAAAGCCATCTAATTCTTTCGAACCAAGATTTTCAAATAGGTAAGTTGTGTCTTTTAGTCTGCTCGAAATTTCATATAATTCTTTACACAGAAAAACAGCTTAGTTACTAAGCTTATTAAATTGTAGTGAAATTTTATGGTATAGATATAATAATTTATGATTTTTTGGTTATTGAAATGTATATATAAAACCTAAAAAAAATTATTTCCCATCCTTCATGTGCGAAATTTATTAAGGCTCAGCAAGCTACGAGAAGCAGCAACCGAGTACAAAGGTTGGAACTAGAAGAGATAATTGTTCGCTTTACTTATTTATTTACTATATTTTAAGAAAAAATCAGTTGAAGAAATTATTTGTAAATAGTAATAATCTATATACATATATAATGTATAATAATTGAAACGTGACTTATTTTACAAAATACTAGTCCACTAAAACACAACCAAGACAGGTCACTTTGTAGATACTAAACCAAAGGTAAGTTTTATATTATTCGATACCGTAACATGAGTGCACTTGCTCCGCGTCATTGTAACTTCTGTATTGTTAGCCAGGCAAGATCAATATATATAAATGTATAATATTATGAAATTTAAGCTATTTAGTCTAAACATTTATGTTTTCGTGTTAAAATCTGTAGTCATTCTAGAACGAAAAAGGCATAATTTATATTCATTTCCCAATTTTTTATGGTGGTTACGATATCGAACAAATCGACCAAACTCGTACAGTGAAAATAACAGATATATTATAAAGTTGTTCTTAAAAAACGTTTGATAATTATCTGGACATTATAAGAATTTGTAATATAAAATTTGTAAATTTTCTGATGCACAAAAGTATTTTTAATCATAAAGTGAAAATAACTGCATGTTGGATAGGCAACATGCGAAAAAAAAATATAGGCAAGACAAAACATTGCTATAGAAAAAATCATTCTCTCTTCTCAAATTTAAAAGAATTTCATCTACTAATTATATTTTTGTAAAGAACTTTCATGACAGATGCATACCTAATTACAATATAAGTAGGTCGTAGTCAAAGCAACTTGGTGATATATAGGTGTATATGCAAAGATAGACTTTTAACACTCAGAGAAAAAACGTGATTTGTATCTAATATCATTACCGAAATTATTTTTCGTGCATTTAATATTTTTTCATTATTTAAAATTTTCGGGCTCAAAACATTTTAGGTCCGGGGCCGTGACTTTCTCGAATGATCAGCGAAGTCCGCGTGTGTTCAAGATGCCTTTTTCGTTAGTATATAAGCCTGGCAGGGAAAGGTGAATTGTTGTGATTGATTTATAGCGTATATTATTAAGTTTAAAGTGACGTACTGTTTGAGAAACTTTTGTGTACTAAAAGTTTGTATCGAGGAGGAATAAACGAGTTTAATCAAGGAAGGACTTGTATCGCTGAAAATCCTCGAAAAGAATTTCTACCGGAAACAAGCAGATACGTAACAAAGTGGGATGGAAAAGAAAGATGGAAAGGAGAAGTGGCAAATCAAACTACGACTTGGCAGATTTGATGGCAGCAATACAAGAACAGCAAAAGAAACAAGTAGAGAGATTATAGCAGTTGTTGGAGGAAAAAGAAAAACGAGAAAATAAACAAGAGAGACGACAGCAGTGGCAAGAAAACCAGCACCAGTGGCAACTCGAACAAGAAAGGAAACAGGAAGAAAGTCTCCAACAACTACAAGAAAGTCAGCAACAGTGGCAAGAAGAACAAGGAGAGAGAGTACAACATCGGCATGAAGTACAAATGGAAAATATTAGTAAATTTCAAAGTGGATTAAATACATTAAAGGATGATTTACTGTCTTTTACACAGA